TTTTCATTAAGAATTCGATCAATGTCCGTTTATTTAGTCGTTAGGAATTTTTTCTTCCTGAACATTTTCTTCCTTTGGCTATGTTTTCTGATAAAGCAGACATAATAACTGATATCTTTAATTTAACGTAGAAACCTTAGAATATCACTATCGATTAAATATTTAATAAGAGCTCATCACAGAAAACCAATTTTGAACTGTAAAATTCAAAAATAGCATTAAACTCATCAATTTTATATGCAAATTTTAATGGTATTTTGATAACGTAAAATTCTTACTTCAAATTTGAAAATGATTTCACGGCGTTCTGATTAGAATTATAATCTGATTTAAAGCCAACATTAATTTTGCGGTATTTATTTCCAAGGCGATCTCTATTTGTTTTTGTGCATCTTTGTAGTGATGAATCAGAGTTCTTATAATGCTCAATTTAAAAATTGAGGTCTATTTCATACCGGAATGTGTTTATTGTTAAGCAGTTTGACGAGGTTTATATTTCTAAGTAGTACATTGTGTGAACATTATTGCTACAAATGTACGCCTGTACTATTATTTCCAACATATTCGAAGACGGGTTTTCGTGCTAGGGAAGAGTTACAGTTGATCAATTTACCTTATTCGTCAAGCCGCTATTACCATTTTTAAATATAGAATTTCAGAGATTGTGTGTCAGGTCGAGGTACTTATTTATTGTACTACTTCACTTCCATGTGTAATTGGAACGAAATTCCAGGAGTCTTGCTTAATGAGTCAGTACCGTTTTTCTAGTGAAACTTTGAAATAATATTTTTTGCTTCGTAACCTGTTTTCAGATTAAGAGAATAAATTAGTTTCCTTCACATATACAAATACTGCAAGCATGTGAGGTACAGTAGCGCAGGCTGCAGTCAAGGATGCAGCAGACATAAATATTTTTGTTATTCCAGCCTAAACCTAAAATTCAAGGTTCGTTTGCCGAGCCAGTGTGCCGACGTCCGGAGCTAGGGCCTGAGTACGTTCATTTGTACGCGGCAGAATTGTCTGTACTTCCGTGCGTCGCACGACGATGCTCCGCCCAGCCTTTCTTCTTCTTCTTTGCCGTTTGTGAAGAAACTCCGCCCAAGCGAGAGGTCTTGAGTAGGCCTCTTTGGACCAAGTATGACCGCATGTCCCACTCGCAGCACGGCCCACAATGCCTTTTCTCTCACATGTGGGCCCATAAACACGTGATCCTTATTACCTCACACCCAGAGTTCAGTTTTGAAAGACGATCGTAAAACTGAACATTTTATTTTGGTTCTTACAAGCGGGATAAAAATGAACGTAGCAACGCACTAGCTGAACAAGAATGTGGTTCTTGCGTCTTAAAGTAGGGCTCATGTCCGGGGCTTGAATGCTACAAGAGTATGCCCGTCACGTACACGCGCCCAAAGCATGTTTAGCAATTCTCGGCAGCAAAGTCGCGCTAAGCCGCACCACTTTGCGCCCCAGCGTTGCAAGACCGCTGAAGGAGGCCCAACGCTTAGCTCCTGGGCCGATTTTTAGCGCATTTTTTCATTTATGAAAAAATGCACTATTGTACTCGCCATGTCCGTCTGTCTGTCTGTCTGTCCGTCCGTGATTTCACGTTTTATGCACTATTGTGCTCGTCATGTCCGTTTGTCCGTCCGTCTGTCTGTCCGTCCGTGACTTCACGTTTTCGTCGACGAGAAAATGCGCTCTCTGTCACTCATTGCAGTGAGTACTGAGTTATATTTTTTTTGCTATTCAGCGTTAGGAGTTCCTGAGAACGCACACCTCGTTGTATTTATGCTGAAATGATTTAATGCTATACGAGAGGCAGTATCTCACTGAAACCCATTTTTTAGCTAACGCTCATTCATGCTAGACCATTACCTACCACAAGCCTACTTTTTTTGAGTGGCAGGTTAGAGTTTAGGCTCATATAGGTTGGAATTACGTAGTTTGTCTCAAGTTTTCCATTCGGTTAGAGGCCATGGGCCTATTTCTTCAACGCCGACAATTCTATTCTATTCTATTCTAATAGAAGGTGATGAACCCTATATTGAGCTTGAAATATTAAACTATCGATAGCTCGAGTTTACTAAGTTCTATTCTGTAAATTTACATTACTTTCGCATATTTAAGTCCGTTAAGTCACATCCAAACCAACTAGAAATCCTGTATTTAAATTCTGGCATTCAATCCTACGTCCTTAATTCCCTCCGCCAGACTGATTATTTGCAATCTCAAGTCACAACAGCTAAATTTAACAACACTAACAATGCAATCTCAAGTCACAACAGCTAAATTTAACAACACAAACAACGCAATCACAAGTCACAACAGCTAAATTTAACACCAACAACGCAATTTTAAGTCACAACAGCTAAATTTAATATATTTAAATATAAACAGCAAACAGTGGAAGTAACGAATCGGACCGAAGAATTACGACAAATCGGATACGAATAGTGAACTATTCTACAACAAATTTAATACTGAACAAGAGAGCTAGAGCTGACAGTTACATAATAAAGCGCGTGATTCCGGGCGTTGGAGTTGAAATCCAATGAGAGAGGAACCGTTACGCAAGTCGGGATCAAGGACCCTAAAATTGACGGAAACCAAAATTTTAACGCCCATGTTAGATCTGGTCACGCTTGATCTTAGCGGTCCAATTGCTAGTAGTAGAAAACCTACTATATTACAGTCGCCATAAGATCACCAAGCTTTAACTGCAGAATTAAATGAATGTTTGCTGAGAAAATATCCCATCAACGGGCACCAAGTCGTGTTCTTCGATAAGTTGGAAAAAAAGGCGTCCGGAAGTTTTCAAATGTCTACTTTATCAGTTTTTCAATGGGTTGTAATTTATCACAGTACCGGGTACTTGAAACATTGTAGCAAACCCCGTGGAGTATTTTGGTACTTTAATTTTTGTTAAAACTGCCTTTGAGTAGTATTTGAGTAGTATTTCGGAAGCGGAATCTCATGAATAAACAACGAGGAGATTTACTGTAAGGGCTTAAAGAAGCAAGGGGCAATTCGTCGTAGGTCCATTTTGGCCTACGCTGGGATGGTTGGCCCCGTCTCGAGGTAAGGGAAATAATGATGAATGTCACTGCTTCTTATTAGGAACTTGATTTAAAAAAAGTCTTACTGGCGATATCTACATAATGCTGAAATTATATAAAGGTTAACAGTTTTCAAAAATCGTAAAGATCTCAGGAAGGAAAGATTTCGTGTATTGTAGCTTATGCTGTGTGTGTCCCTCTGGGTTTATCCTTGTATATGGTTTGTTTGTAAAACTGTCTTGTCTAGTGTTGTGTGTTGAGAATAATGAGGTCTTCGTACAGTCTCTTGTTCAGTATTTAGTCAAATGGGCATTGAAAATAGATTTATAGTTTTGAACTTGTTGCGAACGATTGTGTTTTGGGAGAAAATTATGGGGATTCCGTGAGTCGGGGAAATAACCAGCAGAGATGGAGTATTTAAATTCGTAAAGTAAGTAGTAAATCACGATTTTGAGTACGTACTAGAGTTGTAATTTTTATAATAGTTGTCATTGAGCACTATATATATTAAATTCATGAAATAAAATATGAATTAGGCTCTGTTGCACTATTAACCACAAAGTATATTGTCCTCGACGTAGCCCTGGCGACCAGCGCGTATTGAACGAGTCGATTGCTGCATAGTGCGCGTCGTTCGCCCCGACACCTCAGAACCCCTGTAACCCTTCGCCTGTACGTAGTGAGGTGGCCGCATTGGTCTAGTTAGGGACTAGTTTTATAGTCTTGCTACGGCTACGGAGTAAAAACTAGTAATTCGAAAGTGCACTGAAATTTCCACCCTCTACACTGTTTTTACCGTGAAATATTTAGAACGGGCTATTGCAACCCACTAACTCGGTATGTGAAATTGGAGTCAATTTTAGAAATACTGATATAAGTATTCTTATTTATAAATGGTGAATTATCAGTGGATTATATGTTTAAAAATTGAATCTAGCGTGAGATTGATCATGGCCACACTGGCACGATGACAATAATTTTTAATTCTTTATTGATTCTAAAAGGAATCATATGAAATCACTTTCCTGTATGTATTGAGAGTAATTCGATGTCTACAAACTGATATCTCCGTTACAATTAGAAGCATTGATTTTGAAATCTTAGGACCATAAGTTTGAAATCTTAGACCATGAGGTCCCCCAAGTAAAAGATACCTTGGTATCTTCCAAGAACACTATGTCACTATGGACGGATGTGGACTTCTGAACACTATGTCCACATCCGTCCACAATCATATTATAGATGAACCCCTCAAACCCCTTGGCACTTCCTCCCAAGCGACACTAGGAAAAATTTGAAAACGTACTAATAAGGCATCGAACCCGCCTCTATAGCTATGCCTGTCTCGCTGCTTCCTCTAACTGTGCGCTGCCAACTATCTAACTCATCTGTTCCAAGAATAATATAGAGAACAATAATTATTTTAATAAATTTGTTTACAAGAAGATGACGCTCAATACTCAAGTTTAATAGGTTACCTGATCGTAGTAGAAATTTTATGCTTTTTTTCAATACCACATCTTGTACATGTAGTTGAAGCGTCGCGACTGAGAGTGGCTTACAATCAATTAGCTTTAGATCTCATATTATTACACGCAGTCTATGAGTTTCATTTAAGCGTTTCAATGTTTTTTATGAAAGGCTTGGTTTTGGTTCCTTTCTTTCATGCCGGTGGAAGAAATGCATGCTGTTGAATGCCTGAAGAAATGCCTGCTGAAAGGAGGTGTCATATGACGGAGGTCTTGGATCAATATTAACGTTGGATTAACGATAGATAGATTCCTTGAAATACAGAAAATGTAAACGCGCAGAAAAAAAATTTGTGCGAGGTGTCGTTGTCTTGTGGTCTAGAAGTTTGTTAATTTTGAAAGAGAGGCAAAGGAAAAATTAAAATGTCAGAGGCTTATGTTCGAGTACAATAATCGTTTTTATTGTGCAGATTAGTCATGGATGTATCTGCTGATACAGGCGAAAGCACTGAATACAACTTGTGCCATTTGCATAATTTGCAACTCGAGTATTACTGCATTAAGTGCAAGACAGCTTTGTGTAAAAGATGTTTTCTGTATTTGCATCGTAACCACACTGTCATCCTGGCAGAAGACCTATTAGCTGAAGAATTTGAAAACGACGAGAAAAAGAAAATATTCGTTGATGAAGGGAAAGATGTCGTAAAATTCTTAACTACAGAAATAAAAAACTGTGACCACTACTTGTATTGCTTCAAACTATTTCGTGAGGAAGAATGCAAGTGGTTGGATGTTAAGAAAAATCTATTGACGCAGAAGCAAAGTTTGCAAGATACCATCAAGAAATTTACAGTTAAAGAAGAGCTCGAGGAGGCACCTGGCGCACTCTGGACTTTCTTACGAGCGAAGTCCTTTGTACAAGATGACGAGCTCAGAATGACGTTGCGTGAGGTCAACCACAAGATCGTTTACATTATGAGGGATGCAAATCATGTATTTTGGGTGAGCATTGCGTAATTAATTATTAGAAAATAATATAATTGTGATAAGGATTAAAATTAAACGGAATTCCACACATGCATTAACCTATTACTAGAATGAATTCAAATTGACGATAGAAGGTAGCTAGATGAAAATCATGAAAGCTAACTTTTTTCAAAAATCTGTGTTCACAGGACTGCGAAGATGCTGCAAAGTTAAAATTGTCAGAAATGATGCCTCAAGAGTTCATGCCAAATAACGTACAATGGAAGTTAACTGGGGATTATAAGGCCCAAAAAGCCTTAGCCACTCTGGAAAACTCAAAGAACAAACCCCAAGGCTCCGTCATAGTGCGTTCCACTACGGAGAAACCCGTGCTGTGTTTATCTCCCCTGCTAATAAAGTTGGCTGAGGCTGGCTTAGATATTGAACTGCATCTTCTGGGGCCATACTTTCAAAAAAAAGTTACGAGATCGTAAGTTCATCAGCCAATCATTGACGGCCTTTCAAGCAAAATCCACCAATCATAGACAAGAAAATAGAGCGTAGCTACTTACGTTCACTTAGCGAGTTTTGAAAGTATGGCAGCTGGACTCCTTCTGGTCACGATACTCGCTGCCGTCTGACTGTGACAGACTGGAGCCCATCCTGCGAGCTGGTCATGGGTAATATGGGAAGGATAGGACTTGATGATGAGCATCTAAGAGAAGAATGGTATACAGTATGAAAAGAAATTAAAAAATTACTTTCGTCGACAATAAGAAATTAAAAAATTACTTTAGTCGACAGCGAACAGCCGTTTAGGTTTGAAATTAAACCGGGATTGGAAATCAAAGTTATTATTCCCTATGTAGGAGAGATATATGCATTTAAAAAAAATTAGCTCATAAGCTCCTGAAATACTCCTTGAAAATGGGCAGAACTGCACTTAGCACCATGCATGTCTGCCCCAATGTGACGGAAACCAACATGATTAATTTTTCCTTGTATTTTCCCTAGATGTGTATTTATTGTCATCATAATCCATTGTAATTTCAAATTGATGGATGTAACAAGAAACCACCATTTAATTAACAGTATTCCATAGTACATCGCGAAATACGGTCTTTACAAATAATAATTTTACTAATTAAACTCCAGCGACAGGCTACGTGTCTTCTACGGGCACGTCGAGGCTAAATCACAGCAATCGATGAAGGATCTCAAGAGGTTCGGCCTGCGCTTAGAGGAGGCGAAGGACGTTGAGACTTTCAACTCAGTAAATTGTGGAAGTGGAATTGGTGAGCGTCATTAATTGTGATAAAAATAGGATTTTGTANTATTGTTGTGAGGTATTGTGCAGTTATGGTATGCTATTGTTGTGAGGTTGCAAACGATGGTATTATGAGCATTAGACGTGTCGTTGCAGACGCTCATGTCGGCTTCGCTGACGATCCTGGGAGTATTTTAAATCAATAACCAGTATCTTACGTTAAACAAATGCCGGTGTTTGGGGACATGTTGCAGACGTTGTTATAAGCCGTTCGAGACCCACTTCTGCAATATTGACAAGGAATAGATTCAATGGAAGCATAGTAGGGAGCTTTATTGAAAACCTGAATTATAATCAGTGACTGCATCTAATTTGTCACTATAACTATCTACGCTAAGGCGAAAAATGTTTTGGAAAATCTAAAAGAACGTAGCTCTGTCACGAACTACAAACTAGTGTTTTCCTCTTGATGAACAAAATGAAATCATTATAACCATAAAAAAACTTAACCGTCATCTCAAATGTACCATACGAATATTATGGAATGTGAAAAACAAGAGGTGGCACAGAGTGGCCTTGCAGAAAAAGGAAGGAGAAATCGAAAAGAAAGGAAAAATGGCAAAGGCGTTTTGCAAATACCAGGTTGTTCGTATGTTTGTTGGGTTTTATTAGGGAGGGGGACCGTCAGGGCTTTGGACGGTTTGCACGAACTGTATAGGTCCAAAACAGTATTTGAGCTTGAATATGTGAAGACTCTATAGCCTCATTGCACCAGGCCCTATGTTCGAGATGTGGCTGCTACCAACTTTGGATAGCAAATTTTTTCAACCTAAAAGTATTGGAGTATTTACACAGAAGCCTGTTAATGCGTGAGTGACTTGGTTGGAGTGGTGAGTAACGATGAGAATGACTTGGCTCCCTCACAATGACTTGGCTCCCACACAATGACTTGGCTCCCTCACAATGACTTGGCTCCCTCACAATGACTTGGCTCCCTCACAAACGCTCGCGGGTTAGATGCAGGAATATGATATTTAACTTGCATTTTTTGGCAGTCTCCGTGAGCAGGCAACTCCAGCCCGTTCACATCACGGAACAGGTTAAAGAGAATACTTCTCTTTGCTGCGTGGAGCTGGAGGACGGCGAGGTGCCGTGGCTGCTGGCGGTTGCGACAAAGTTGATTGATTGTCAGCCTCCCACGTGAGTTTTGTCTGAAGATGAGGTATCATGTACCAACCAATCTGGGCCATACTTTCAAAAAAAGTTAAGAGATCGTAAGTTCATAAGCCAATCATTGATGACCTATCAAGGAAAATCCACCAATCATAGACAAGAAAATAGAGCGTAAGTATTTACGTTCACTTAGCCGTTAGCGGGTTTTGAATGTATGGCCCTATCTATGTAACAACGGGTGGACGGATCTGCAATCACAACTTATATGTGGGATAACTCTTGACGTATTATGAGCATATGAAGGTGTCCGCTGGGTACGCATGTTAATTATGGTTCTATTCAGATTCCTTTAATACTTTTTCATATATTCAGTAATAATTGCAGTTGGACTGTGGTATGAAATGATGTGTTGGAGTGTGCGCCACTATTTTCGAAATCAGTGTATCTTGCATATTGTATGCACAAAAACTTTCAAGGTAATGTAAATTCAATTTACAAAAATTCTAAACTTGCATCTGCAATGTTATAATAGAATTTATTCTAAATAAATGATGTAGAATTAAAAAACTTCTGGTGAAATTATTGTTGTTGAGTTCTGAGTCACCTCATTCAAATAAGTTATAAAACTTCCTAACTTTACTTATATTAAAAAATCAATTTATACAAATAAATAATCAAGGCCTCCTTTAGAATTTGCTCATGGTTTCACTGCCAATTCCCAAACTTTGGATCATCTTGAGGCCCCGATACGATAGACATTGTGGCAAAATTTAAATGTTTCTATGTCAAGCATTCAAACTCTCACACAAATACACAAGCTGACATTCCAAAATAAAACAGATAACAGTTCACTTTTCATTTCTGGGATTAACGTTATGTTGACAATAAAGTTAGTTCTAATAATTTTTGAAAGGAAAAAAGAAACCTACATGATGAACTTGAGTTTGAAAAGCAAGCAACAAAGTCCGTTTCTTACTTGGTCCTGATGGTGGGAGAAGTTGGGTTCAAATGCCCTCAGTTTTCTTAACGTCTTGTGTTGGTAAGTCAATGATAATATATAATAATAACAATGATGTACACAGAAAGATACGTCCACTCCACGCTACATCGATACCCGCGATACATCATCAACATGACACTTTTACACACACGACACCTTCGCACAGACATCTGGATACACTACACATCCGCACCCACGATACGTGCACAATCACACTGTTAGAAAAATTACCGTTAACGGTATTACCGGCGTTTCAGTGGCCGGTCGGCACGTGAAAATAAGCACCGTGTCGCCGTTTTTATTCTAATTTAACACTAGAAATCCGTGAAACATCTGATAAAAACGGCGAAACAGTTTATTTTCACGGGGCGACCGGCCACTAGAACGGCAGCTAGTGAGACCGATTTTTCGCCGTTTTTTCTAACAGTGCACGTTCTGTTCTCATTTCTGTCATGAATGCGCTGAGGTTATCCCCTGACTTTCCGTCGTGTAAACTTTACAGTCAGTGCAAGCACCTCACGCATTGTGCTCTCTCTACTCAGGGAAGGTTATGACCTCGTCCTGCCAGCGTGTCGTCTGACACGTGACGGCGTGGCACAGTTGCTGGAAATGCCAGCATGCAGCTCGCTAAGACCAGTTTATTACTCCCTAGGCTTCCGCCACGTGTATCTTCAGTCAACCACACTCTCGCCATCCGACAGGGAGCAGCTGGAAGAGATGGCGAGTCGGAACGACAAGCCTCTCACCTGGGAACTGAATGAACATTTCTTAATTGAGTGAACAGTGTTCAGCAGCACCTCGACTCGTCCTTTTCTCTTTGGCGCATTTTCTCATTAATGGAAAAAATATAACTCAGTACTCACTGCAGTGAGTGACAGATAGCGCATTTTCTCGTCGATGAAAACGTGAAGTCACGGACAGACAGACACACGGACGGACGGACATGACGAGCACAATAGCGCCTTTTTTCCATAAATGAGAAAATGCGCTAAACAGGCGCTATATAACGCTATTGGGCACGTCATGTCCGTCTGTCTATCTCTCTGTCCGTGACTTTACGTTTTCTTCAACGAGAAATGCGCTCTCTGTCACTCACTGCAGTGAGTACTGAGTTATATTTTTTTCTGTTTCATGCCTAGTAACAGCGATAGGATATTCAACGCAGTTCTGAATGGGAGTATTTTGAAATTTTTATTTTGCATATACCGGAATTTTCAGAATTTTGTTGATGCATTGAAATCTTAAAACCATTGGCATTGGTCAGATTCTCATCATGCAATTCGAGTTATAAAGTTTTAACGTTTACAGCAGGATGGATCGGTCACTCGATCCAGCATGGGAAGCTTTCTCTCCAATTTCTTAAATTCCGTGAAGTTGGTTCAAAAGAATAATTAATAGCGAGCAAAAATCATGAATAATTTGAGATTACTCTCTCAAATTATTTATGAATTTCGCATAGTTTGTCTCTCATTTACGAAGGTTTGCAGAATTTGTGTGATTGTTGTTAAGCCTTCTTGGCTCTGGCGAGATTTCAACGCTAGAGTTTCCAGAGTTTTTTTTATTTGTGGTATTTGGACAACATAGTTTCTGCATGTCCAATAACAGAATTTTTGCAATGAATCCTATAATTTTTTTATGAACATTTTGATATAAAATATCAGCAAGAATATTTCAGATGAAATTAATTTAATATTAATTAATGTTTCGCGTCTGGGGCAGATCTGAACAAAAAGTAAGAAATGCACTTCCAGACTTTTTATTTCTTAATAAATATAACAGGCTTTTTATCACTAAAACAGAGCTATGCCAGAAAGAACGATTCAAAAGCCCACCATATGGGCCGGGGTAACGGCACTGAATTGTTAATATCAATTTACATGAGAATGAGATTTTAATTAGGTCCATTTATATGACAAGAAAAGACTAATTAAACAATTTATCCCTATAATGATTTTTAAACATATGAAGTGAAATCGATGTTAATTTTTCATGCACATTTTCTAATTTTTCAAATGTTCTGGTTACTTCACATACAACGAATTAAATAAAAATTTAACAGCTTAGAAGGCGAAAAACAATTTGTGTCATGCTTGATCGAAAACCTTTAGACTTCCCTGGGAAATCGTAAGTAAGAATAAGGTAATTTTTATCTACCGCCACTAGTAAATGATACTGATAACGATAAGTTATTTGTACCTGTTCAAATATAATTCCTCCTTTTGATTAATTAGCAACCAAATTGATTTCGTGAAAAAATAATGTAAATTAGTCTTATCAAAATTATTTAAGCACAGATTATCTGTTCCTCATTTTGCTGGATGAAACAGTCATTTGTTAATCGTAAAGTAGTTGTTATAGCCCGATCCACAAGCAGCCTGGGCCCATACTTTAAAAAAAAAGTTAAGTGATCGTAAGTTCATCAGCCAATCATTGACGGCCTTTCAAGCAAAATCCACCAATCGTAGACAAGAAAATAGAGCGTAAGTACTTACGTTCACTTAGCGAGTTTTGAAAGTATGGCCCCTGGGAGATAAAACAAGTTCAGAAGTGAGATGCTCATTCGTCCGAAAAAAGGTGCTGCTGTCGACATTTCGACATTTCTTTTATAAGGTATACGGGTGCAAAAGGTATATTAACTGAACCTTCTGCATAGAACAGATTTGGATTTGTTATGTTAGAGTTTACTATTCAAGTGTTAACCCGGTGTATATGTCGATAAATTTCAAAGAGTATTTAGAGATTCACTGGACATGTAGAGTACCGATGATCTCGGCGATGGAAGATAACAAAATTATTATAACGTAGTTGCCTTATATACGGACGGTTAAGCTCAACAGTCACCGTTCACTGCCAGAGCCATCTCAGAGCCAGTGTTTGAGACGGGGATTTTTGGTGAGATCTGCAGAAAAAAAAAACACCAGGGGCAATACTTTTAAAACTCGCTAAGTGAACGTAAGTACTTACGCTCTATTTTCTTGTCTATGATTGGTGGATTTGGCTTGAAAGGCCGTCAATGATTGGCTGATGAACTTACGCTCTCTTAAATTTTTTTTAAAAGTATAGGCCCAGAGCACTAACCTGCACTGGACCAAAAGCCTTGCATGTTCGTCGCCCTGCATATATGTAGTACACATAATGAATAAAGATATGAACCAATTCCTCGAGTTATTATTCATCATGCCTTCTGACATCTAATCGTATTATTATATTCTGGATGAAACTGTAGGAACTCTGCCTATAGTACACATAATGAATAAAGATATGAACCAATTCCTCGAGTTATTATTCATCATGCCTTCTGACATATAATCGTGTTATTATATTCAGGATGAAACTGTAGGTAGCCGTATAAGTACAAAAACAGGCGTACCGTTTTCGTGCCGGAAACGTTACTATCGTTTAATTTTACGGTAAGTAACTGGTTACTGTAACGCCAGTGGGAACGTTTTTTACGGACATCTTTCGAACAGTGTACATACCGTCGTCCAAATCAAAACTGCAGGACGACTTTCGTAAAATTGTATTCTCATTGGTAAGTTTTACTTACAATTTTCATTTTATTTGGTAACGAGCGAGTCGAAAATACATTACCAATCTCATTCAAGTGACTTGATGCATGAATAAATGAGGAGAGCTTCCAACAATATATTGCTCATTTTTGTTCATCGTTTCTGAGTCCGAACAACACATACATTAGGTATATGGATCTAAATCAACTTTGGGTTGCGTGATCCACCATTAATTTATTCCACTCCTACTCTGGGCCTATACTTTAAAAAAAATTAAGAGATCGTAAGTTCATCAGCCAATCATTGACGGCCTTTCAAGCAAAATCCACCAATCATAGACAAGATAGGTGGGTGGCTGAACAGGGGGGTGGCTGAACAGGTGGGTGGCTGAACAGGTGGGTGGCTGAACAGGTGGGTGGCTGAACAGGTGGGTGGCTGAATAGGTGAGTGGCTGAACAGGTGGGTGGCTGAACAGGTGGGTGGCTGAACAGGTGGCTGAACAGGTGGGTGGGTGATCAGGTGGATGAACAGGTGGGTGGCTGAACAGGTGGGTGGCTGCAACATCCACCAAAAAAAGCTCATGATCAGTACAAAGTCAATAATTTTAATTATTTAATTAAATAATTAAAAAATATTTAATTATTTTAAATAATCAAATAATAAATAATGATAATAATTAAAATAATAATAATTTTAATTTAATTAATTTTTAAAGCTAACCTGTTATTCGTGGACGAAATTTCATTCCAATTGAACCGAAGTCATCCGGAGACTCAAGGACAACCTGTAGATGGTTCCACCCTGTCCCATTTTTTTCAATTTATTGATAAATATGTTGTTATTAAATTTTTTTAGAGAGCCGTAATTTATTTTCTTACCATAAATATTTTGTTTGCAAACTTTTTTAGAGAGCCGCAATTTATTTTCTGGTGACACTTCCAAAAGATCCATTTATAAAATTTTCAGTGACAATAATACAACACGTTCCCTCTTCAGTTCCATACATTGAACTGTACGGCTTAAATACATTTTCACACATGTGTATAAAATTTTCGTACTTACAGGAAATTATTATTATGCTGTGAAAGTGTAATTCGTTTTGTCATAAGATTATTAACATAAGAATGTTTTCAAGAAGTTAGTTGGGATCATTATTATCTATAACACACTTTAATTTGCGTCTCGTAAATATCCTTCATTAGATTATCTGCCTGGGTAATTTATAATATTGTAATTATACGATTGTGCTTTTTTTTACTACCAGTGCTCTCTAGGCTCTCTTTTTTTCCTAGCAGTGCTCTCTAGACTCTCATTTTCCTAGCAGTGCTCTCTAGACTCTCTTTTTTTCCCAGCAGTGCTCTCTAGACTCTATTTTTCCTACCTGTGCTCTCTAGGCTCTCTTTTTTCCCAGCAGTGCTCTCTAGGCTCTATTTTTCCCAGCAGTGCTCTCTAGGCTCTCTATTTTCTACCAGCAGTGCTCTCTAGACTCTCATTTACCTAGCAGTGCTCTCAAGGCTCTCTTTTTCCTAGAAGTGCTCTCTAGACTCTCATTTTCCTAGCAGTGCTCTCAAGGCTCTCTTTTTCCTAGCAATGCTCTCTAGGCTCTCTTTTTTCCCAGCAGTGCTCTCTAGGCGCTCCTTTTCCTAGCAGTGCTCTCTCTCTCTCTAGACTCTTTTTTNCTGTTCATGTTCTGAGCTGTTCATGTTCTGAGCTGTTCATGTTCTGAGCTGTTCATGTTCTGAGCTGTTCATGTTCTGAGCTGTTCATGTTCTGATCAGTTCAACAATTTATTGTCGTCGCATTCGGAAATATATTTTTTAAACGATAACTTTTTCTTGACCGGAAAATTACTTTTGCTTTTATGTGCTTGTACTGCAATGTTTTTTTTTTTCTAAATCAGATTATCTCATATTTGTGACAAACTATTTAGAACAAATATAAAATATATTTTTAACGCTTTTCTTTCATCCTATATAATTTTTATCATTCAAACGTGCCTTGAACAAATCTTATGCCGCGCAATATAGTTTATAGAGCACTTCTATCGTCCTATAGCACTTCTCAGGGTATTTTGTTGGGGTATAATCATATTCTTAAGAGACTGAGCCCCTATGTCCTTACATAACATAACATAACAGAGTGATGTCGGCGCTGGAGTGTAGGTCTGATGTGGCCTGCCGCCGAAGTATTTAGTATAGTAGTAGTATCTTCGGCATTAAAGAATAGGCCTGGATAGGTCTATTTTACTTTTTATTTACTTTTCGTGACTTGTTCACAGGATATCTTATCAATAAATTCGAGAGAAATTCGCCTCCATTGTTACATTCACATTATTACAAATTCACAGAAGATCTAAAATCGTGTCATTTGACCGGATCTTTTCAAGACTGACGATAGTTTGAAATAAAAACTAGACTGACACCGGGTTCGATATGGTGCTAGGCATTTCAAATCTGAACATATATTTTTCCATAGCTTTATCTAGTCTGTTCTTGAACGCGTTCATACTTGGAGGATTTAGCTTCATTTGTCCCTAAAACCTGGCAGCTAATCCCACCTTGTCCTTAAAGCCTAGTGGATCAATCAAGTTTAAATGTTTGGTGTGATAGGTCGGATAAGTTGGAATAAAAGATGACTCGCCTTTGCCAACAAGACAAGGAATGTGGCCTGGGTCATACTTTCCATACTGGCTAAGTGAACGTAAGTACTTACGCTCTATTTTCTTGTCTATGATTGGTGAATTTTGCTTGAAAGGCCGTCAATGATTGGCTGATGAACTTACAGTGAACGTTGCGAGGAGTTCATTTGTATCAGCTGTTCAAAGTTGAGCTCAAAAGAGCACTTTTATTCAGAAAACTATATAAGAGTACTTATTTCTTCTCGCAGTGACTGCGAGAAACGAACTCTTGGTGCTCGAAAAAGCGGGAAACCGGTAGAAGAGCACAATGAGTCGAACTTATTGAATGATGTTCCTAGTAAACTCCTTGAGTGAAAAATTGAGCTCGCTATGCAATGACCTGACTGCAGTGAAGGCTTAGCTGAAAAATACGAAAAAATGGAAGTAAAGAATTAGTGAGTTGATTTATCCGAAGTTGCTAGCTAAAGCTCCCGTGAATTACTTGATAGACAACGTAGGAAGTGCAACCTAGTTTGGTATGGTACTCCCGAAAGTATCGCATCTGATATGAAGGACCGAGTGATGGATGACACTGAATTTGTTGAAGACTGTTGCAGCAACTCAGCACAACGGTTGATATTACATCGTGCAAGAGGCTACGCTCGAAGGATGCTGCTGCCAACACCTGCAGACCTCTGCTGGTGACTGTAAAGGATCCTGCTCAGGCTTGGAGCGTGCTGAAGTCAGCGAGAAAGCTTAGAGAATCCGCTGATTACAAGTCAGTTTTTGTAAAGAAAGATTCCACCCCCCTTAGAAAGGGTGGTTTTCGCAAGAAGTGGCAGTAGAGAATCAAGCGGAAAGGCACGGAAAATCAGGTCAATCACTTCCAAGCTGCCAAGACAACACCGGCTGCTCAAGGACAGACAGAGGAGATGGTGGACAAGTAATTAGTAGGAATGATGTCCGGCGATCAAGGCCTGTAAATAATGTAGGAAGTAACCGCATACATCAAAGTGGAAGTGCACAAAAAGCTTTTAAATGTTTTTATACGAACTCGGATTCTATTTGGAACAAATAAAGTGAACTGTTAACTGTGATCGCAAACGAGTGTATAGACATTATTTGTATTACAGAAACACTCTCTAAAAATCACGAGGGGAAAATTGTACCTGTTGAATTTGGTGTACCTGCAGTAGAGGTGTAGTTCTGTGGGTTAGAACCTCTTATGGGGCCCAGCAAGTCAAGTTAATGCAGAGCATCAATTAGTGGGGCCAACTGGTGTACAGATAACTTAGCGCACAACACTGGTGTGTGGGGCCAGCTAGAGATTCAGTCTGGTGCGAACTTTCTCTAAAAGGCAAGGATAGCCTCCTCATAGGGGTCCTTTATAGTTCACCAAACAGTTCTTCTGATAACAATAAAGTACTAAACAGCCTTTTACTGAGCATGTCATTCAGCAGGTCGCATACGTTGATCGTTGGTGACTTTAACCATCCAGAAATAGACTGGGCAGATGAATCTTCTCCAAAAGATGGAAATTACTCAGTATCTCTGTTCTTGGAATCTGTGCGAGACTCATTTTTAATCCGAACATCACCAAGCCAACCCATTTTAGAGGTAAACAGACCTCAAATATTCTAGATCTAGTGTTCACCAGTGAAAAGTCAATGTTAGATGAGCTGCGCCACGAGGCTCCGTTGGGCAAGAGCCACCACCAATCATTGTTTTTCAATATTAAGTGTTGTGCAGAAAAACGCTTCGGAAGCGTGAACGTTTGAACTTTGCGAAAGGCGACTATGATAAACTCCGTGAAGCGGTAAATATGGAGAATATTTCGGACTGTATTAAGGACATGAATGTGGCTGATTCATGGTCGTTTCTCAAAGACACGGTTATGTCTGCAGTTAATGCCTGTGTACCTAAGATTACGCTTGGAGGAGTCAAAAAGTCCCAGTGGATAAACAGTGCAGTTAAGACTCAGCTAAAGACCAAGAAAGAAGCCTACAAGCGTTATTTACGAACTCGCAGCGATGCTGATTATAATCTGTATGCAAGAGCTCGAAATCAAGCTAAAAAAGTGTATCGCACCGCAGTGAAAAACTTCGAAAGAAATATTGCCAAAAGTGTCTAAAATACTCCGAACGCCTTCTTTTTGTACGCTAGTTCGAAGTGTAGGACAAACGACAGTATTTCTGATTTGAAAGTAGACCAACGAAAGATTTCCTCTGATGAGGGCAAGGCTAATGTTCTTAATCAGTTCTATAGCAGTGTGTTCACAGATTAGGACTTGAACAGTATTCCAGATATTGAGAAGCGCCCAGTCGGCTCGAAGTTAACAGGTTTTGAAATATACGAAGAAGAGGTTGTCAAGCGCCTGGTAGCTCTAAATCCCAACAAATCATGTGGGCCAGACGGCTTCCATCCCAGATTGCTCAAAGAATTAGCAACCGTTCTGGCTGGCCCATTGACTGTATTCTTTCAAGAAACCTTGAACGAAGGAACTTTGCCGACCGATTAGAAAGAGCTCAAGTGACACCATTGTTCAAAAAAGGTGACAAGTAGCCTGTACCATCGTCCTGTCAGTCTGACAAGTGTTGTTTGTAAGGTAATGGAATGTGTTGTGAGAGATAGGATTAACGATCACTTGACTGTTCACCATCTCCTATCAAATTGCCAACATGGTTTTATTGCCGGTAGATCCTGCACCACTATTTTCTTATCTACGTTGAACGATTGGACTCGCCTGCTGGACGAAAGGGAGCCAGTGGATGCATTGTACCTCGATTTTGCCAAAGCATTTGACAGTGTTCCGCATGAGCGGCTGTTGCGTAAAGTGAAGTCCTTGGGGATTGAGGGAAACGTACTCCAATGGATCAGAGAT